TGAAATGTAAGTTTCAATACCTGGGTTCTTCCCATGATTGCAATCTTCGCTCTCGTAACAATCTCGTGCTCTACTCCCTCTCACCGTACTTGTTTCCTCTCAAACTCTTTCGCTGTTACAGCTGTAAGACTCTGGAATGCGCTTCCCCTAGCAATAAGAAAATCCCCCAACAAGTGGATTTTTAAAACAAATTCATCTGACACAAAAATATATAAATAATCTATAACATTTAATAAATTAGATCCTTATATATATTTAATTAAGTTTGAATTATGAGTATGTATGTGTGTGGTGTGTGGAGGGGGGTGAAGATGTATGTGTATGTGAAATTTATCAATTTTAAGTTTCATTATAGCCCACTGCAGTACACGCATCTCCCACTAACTATCCGGTTGGCTGGTATAAAATGCCATATGGCATTAAGTCCGTCGTTTGTACCTTTAGTACAATAAAGTGTAAATAAATAAAAATAAAAAAAAAATTTTCGTCTAGGGCAGAATTCTCCAGGGTCTAGAGTCTCCAGGGTTTAGCTACTGCGACGAGCGCTTCCGATTATCGTACAGTATCCATTTTTCATCACAAGTAATGATTCGATTTAAAATCCCTTCATTGTTGTGTCGTTTGAGCAAAGTAACACAGCGGTCGACGCGTGTTTGGATGTTCGATTTACTCAATTCATGAGGTACCCATTGTTCAAGTTTTTTTTTACTTTCCCGATTTGCTTCAAGTGGATTTATACAGTTTTATCGCTTACCGTGAAGCCTGCAGCTATCTCTGAAGTGCTTTGTGATGGATCCGTTTCCACAATAGCTTTTAATTCTAATTTTCCACTTTGGTCTCCGGCCGTCCACGGAGTTGGTTCTGAAGGTCGAAATTTCCAGAACGAAAACATTGAAAGCAAAAACGTACCGTGCTTTCTTTTGCGACATTAGCGCCGTACATATCATTAATCGTTCGAGCTGTTTCTGAAGCACTGGTGCCACGGTAGAACTCGTAGGTACTCGTAAATATACCGAAATGTCATGTTTCCATTGTGCGGTAATAAGCGACGAAAAATAAAAAAATAATGAGGAAAAAACAAATGAATGACTGTTTTTAAAACTCAAATGTACCAGTTAAATTCATTTACAAATTTCAATTTAGAATTATTAACCAAAGAGGAGATATTTCAGATCAAAATGGTCAGTACGACAAAACGCTAATTTCATATGTAAGTTCCCAATATTATAATTAATATTTAATATAAATTTAATATTATAATAAGAAAGGTACAAACTTTAATAACCTTGCATTCCTATTAGCGGTGTAGTGCTAATAACGCTGGCTGAATTGAAACGCGTATAATTTCGGTCATATACTAAATAGCTTTTTTACGTGGTTAAGCTACGCTGCGGCTTTATTATGGTTGTAGTACGGATGGGTCGGTTCAACCGGGGAAGAATTACGTACCAGTGTAAAATAGCAGCTTAATAGTGCTGTGTTTTGTATGGTAAGTAGGAGAGATCCGAAGACCCTTTTCTATTGGAAACGAGGCATTCCATCTTAGTCTTTAGAGGTGACAACGCATCTGCATTTGATTCTTAATCGAGGTTAAATGTAGATGTATATGGGCCACAGTATCCACTTACCATCAGGTGGACTGTGTACTCGTTTGTCACGCCTATTCTATATAAAAAAGATTACCATTGCCTACTATTATTTTTCTTGCGTAAATCTTTACTATGATGCTTATATTTTTGCTTGTAATACCCATAGAGGATGAAAGAAAGTTTTTTTTTTAAATTTAGTTTGTGCTTTTATTTTTGTAATTAAGGAACTTTAATGAATATTGTTAGTAAAAATTTAAGATTTAGTTAATGTTGCTCCAGTGCGTATTGGTCGACTTTACATGTTTTTGAGATATTTTTTTTTAATTTCTCAAATATGCAGGCTTCTTCAGCCGAGCATATAATTAGCAAGTAACAAACATAAAGTAGCAAAAAAAATTGTAATTAAAAATTTCCTTGGTGACAGCGGGGTTCGAATCTTTCGTCCAATATGAAATACTGCGAGTGGAGCTACTACGGTAACTACTACTAACAGAGACTAGCGGCGATGTCGTTCACTACAGCTCTCTAAAATCTGGCCAAACGATTACGGCAGATATCTACTGTCAGCAACTGCAAGCTATGAAGAAAAAACTATCAACTAAACAACCGAGATTGGTCAATCGCTCTAGGCCATTGCTGCTTCACTACAATGCAAGACCACACACTGCACAACAAACAACCAAAGTTAGATGAACTACAATCTGTCTGCGACAACCACCGTACTCCCCGGACATTGGACTTGAATTTGGACAACTTCTTACAAGGAAAAATATTCAATTCCGACGCGGCAGTCCAAACCGCCTTCAAAGAGTTTATTGATCCTCGCCCCCATGGTTTTTAGTAAAGGGATCAATGAACTACCTATGAGATGGCAAAAGTGTATAGATAACAACGGTGCATACTTTGATTAATTAAATATATTTTACAAGAAGAAAAGACTATTACTATCATTATCATCATCTTGTAATCATCATCTTGTAATCATCTTGTATCTCTCGAAAATAAACATATCTTAAAAACTTCTAGTAAGCTACAGAAACCGTTTGCCATTTGTGTGTAATAACGAGGCTATTAAGTGAATATCCCTTGGTCTAGTGGACGTAAGCGCGAATTCCGATCACTTGGTCTCAGATTTGAATCCCAGGTCAGGCTAAAATCAGTTTATGGGCTTTCTAGTCCGGTTACAATTGTTTTTAAAGCAAGAGTTGATAGGTATTTTGTTAAACTAAGATTTGTTAAAATAAGTAAAAAAAAATCATGTAGCAGTTCGAAATAAGGAAGTTGGCAGTGTTTTATCCTCCTGCCTAGGAAAATACACACAACAACCGTTGGCCCTGCGCCTGATCTCTTAGTCCGATTTACGTCTAAGTCTAACTATGTCTTAGTTTAGAGTTAAGAGAATAAAGGAGTTTTTTTTCTTAGTTAAGACTGGCCGCAGTTATCAATATCAAACCTGGAAAATATTATGATTTTTATGTTATTATGGACACATAATAATAATATAAAAATCTATCACTACCGTGCACACCTATTTACATACGATTTAAAAGTGTTACTTATTTCTATTACTATACTAATTATGTCACTGGGTATATATATATATATATATATATATATATATATATATATATATATATATATATATATATATATAATCGGGATCTCGGAAACGGCTCCAACGATTTTCATAAAATTTTGTGCGCAGGGAGTTTCGGGGGCAATAAATCGATCTAGCTAGGATTTATTTTTAGAAAATGTCTTTTTTTAAGTATCAATATCAAACTAGTTAGTAGTTAGTAGTATCAATATCAAACCTGGAAAATATTATGGTTTTTATGTTATTATGGACACATAATAATAATATAAAAGTCTATCACTACCGTGCACATCTATTTACATACGATTTAAAAGTGTTACTTATTTCTATTACTATACTAATTATGTACTGGGTATATATATATATATATATATATGTATATATATATATATATATATATATATATATAATCGGGATCTCGGAAACGGCTCCAACGATTTTCATAAAATTTTGTGCGCAGGGAGTTTCGGGGGCAATAAATCGATCTAGCTAGGATTTATTTTTAGAAAATGTCTTTTTGTCCGTGTTTTTAGGCAATGAAAAATTGCTACAATATCGTTAGAATAAGAAGGCAAATTTTGACAGTTTGTTAATGATTACAAATAGCTTAATTGGTATATTGGGCGGTCCCAAAATTGTAATACCAGGGTTCGAGCCCAGACCGACCTACCGACTTTTTTAATTGTTTTTTCAAGTTCCTTTCTTTTTTGAGAAAATCTATTTTTTCGAGCCCTTTTTTAGTATTTTTTAAAAAACACAAAAATTTAAATGAAACTAATTGCACTCATGAGTTTTTATTCAAATAACCAGTTCAGTTATTTCTATTATGTCGCTAAGATCAAAAAATATTATTCGTATTTCATCAGTATGTAATTTGTATTTAAATATAATTTCCAAAACATACGAATTAAAAAAAACCGAGAAAAACTCGGTCAACCGGGTACTATATATATATCTATGGCGACGTATAATACAATGGATATAACCACGGAGCATTGTATTTGCTCCGTGGATATAACTCATCAAACCGATAGCCTACCGAGATTGCGCGAACGAGAGCGAGAGCGAGAACGTATTGTAGGGCGGCTCACCACTAGGTTAAGTGATGGAGTAAGGCATGCAGGATGTCGCTACCTGCAGCTGGAGGGCTTAGGATTGAGGCTGAAATGATGCTGATCGATATGCAATTATTAAAGATGGCATGAAAAAAATGCATAAAATTAAACTTAAAGCAGATGAGTAAAATGTGTGTGGTATAGGTGAAAGAAAATTAAGTACAAATATGATAATTTGAAATTTTTTAGTACAAAGAAAGTTAAAGCTACGTGTTGTTTTACTGGTACGTATAATCAATTGATTGTTGTGATTTTTACCTTCAGCTTTTCCTTTATAGTTTGGAACGTCTGACACCACACTTTTCCTCTCGTCTGTGAGGCGACCGGGTCCCGGTTAGTGACAGAATATGCGCGTTTGTGAAGCGACCGGGAGCCGGATCCAATAAGTAGTCCTTCGTCTTGCTTATATTAAGGATTTTCGCATATATCTTTCTCTTTTTAACTCATTACGAAAGCATAATGCTTAAACATGTTAGCTATTGGACCGCGTCTTTGCCGGATTACGTCATGTAAGAGTCAAATATTATGAAGAGAAGTTCGCCGGTCACATACGTCTGACCACCTTGTTTAAAGATATTTAACTTTTACTACAAATAAAAATACGATGGAAAGAGTTATGTTTAATTTCTATGAATAATATTAAAGGTGTGTTATAAAAGGTAAACAGCTGTTAAATAGGTTGATAAAGAAGAAAATACGATGGAAAGGTAAGTTATGTTTAATTTCTATGAATAATATTAAAGGTGTAACTTATTTTTTCGTAATTTTCGGCCTTTTTTTAAACCTACTCTGTGTCGAACTACGAGTATAATTTTGATTTGGTTTAATTTTTATTAAAACACGTCACACTTATTAATTTAATATCATGAACTAGTCGCCCACTTAATGAATTTAGCTTGGATTTAGTGTGAAACATGTATTAATACTTAAAAAGTAATAAATAGATGTACTTTACTTTCAAACCGGGAATCGGTCTCACCACAGACATTGTTTGACAGATCCTATTTAAGACTAAGTATAGTATGGATATTCCCTGCGTGTTAGAATTTTTCAATCGACTTCACAAAGAAGTAGGAGGGTCGCAATACGACTGATTTTTCACGTGTTTGTTATCCAATTTTACTTCATTTACATTTACACACATTTTAATATTTGTTATTATTATTGAAAAAATATTCTTCGCCCAATGGGATGAAATTAAAGTCGGTGTTGTTTTTTTCTGTTGAAGCACTACAAGTTTTTAATATTTCATAATATTTTTGAAAAGTTATGTACGCTCATTTTTTATTTTCATGAATTTTTTTAATTTCTGTTTGGAATTTTTAATACTATTTCCGTTAAGTGTTTTTATTTGCTTTGTTCTGTTTTGAGTGCTCTCTTTTGTTTTTTCGATGCATAAGATCAACAACAAGAGGCGGACAGAGAAAAGGCACCGGTGGACGCGGGGCACGCAGAGCCTCTGGTCCACGTACGCGTGGTGGGCGGCCTGGTGGAGGTGGTGGCGGCTTACAAAGGCCTTCTTCTGACTCGTAATAGCGGATTTTTATTAACACATAAATAATTATTATACAGTTAGTAATAATATATATATATATAATGCTCAAAATTGTATTTTAGGATATTCAGTGGCACCCTCGATGATATCTCGGAGACTCTGGCTCTGGAGAGAGCCATAACTTCTAAACGACCACGAATTCTTCCTGAACCAAGACCATCGACATCGACTACGTAAATATTTACTTATTACGTCCTTTTATTAATGTATGTAGAAAATAATGCGTTGACATGTGATAATAATTTGGTTTTAAACAACGTTTGTGGTCGTCTCTGAAGGTAATGACATGCGACCCAGCTTCAGAACCAATTACACTGCCTGAGAGCCCCCCTACGCCTGCCACACTGTGTGCACGCTCTCACGAAGGGGGCCCCCTTCACCCGCTCTGTAACTATTGACAATTTTATGTATTTATTTTACATAACAATTTTCTGTTAAATTAAATTAAACATAAAACATTTGCAGGCACATTGAATGTGGCAGTAGCGGGGCCTCTACGCCACATTCAATCGTAATCGGTGCAGCAAAACGACCCAGGTTAGTTTTAGTATTGTAATTTTAGCAGTAGTATTAGTAAAAAAAGAACTTATTATTATTATATATTTTTATTGACTTTACTATTTATATATTCAGAAATACTAAGGACCCCCCCCCTGCTGGATCACAAAAGCGGCGGTGCTCATGACATGCAAAAATAAATACGTATTAAGATAAAATTGATCTCAATTTTAAGATTTGATCTATATATTTTTACAGAATTTCATCTTCGTCACCCCATCGCCCAAGGCAGCCTCTTAGGGATAATGATATAAGCACAATACTAAACTATGGTACCTGAAATTTTTATTATTACATCTTCTGACGGAATTCTATCAATAATTTTAATGATGTAGTAATTAAGATGTTTTTGTTCAGGCAGTGAAGAGGACTCCGAGGACGATGGGGAGAACGATGATTTTACCACATCGCCAATGGTGCCTAGAGCTGCACGATTTTATTTTCAAGAGGAAGACGACGATGTGGTTAAAACTGATGCGATACCATCGATTCAATGGCCACCTCAGTCGCAGCAGCCGCAGCAGTTCGAGGCCGTACTACCAATTTTTAATATCCCCGATCCCAAACCCACAACCAATCCTGAGCCCACAACCGATTCCGAACCCATAACCGAGCCGGAACCCACAACTGAGTTACAACCGTCATCAAAATTTGTGTTCAATTGGAGAGCGTTCTCGCAACCTCAAATTCCACCTGAGTTGAGAAGAGAACCTTTCTCCGACAGTAATTGTGGTCTCACTGTTTCATTAGCGACCCCATATGAAGCATTTACTGCCATTTGGGATCGACAAATAATGGAATACATAGCTAGTGAAACAAATAAATACGCACAACAGCTGGCAACGTACATCTGGAGGAAGGCTCCATACGCCCTAACAGCCGTATTACCAAGTGGCAGCCCACCGACGTCGATGAACGATACGTGTATTTGGCTATAATTCTGGCCACTGGAATTGTAGTCAAATCACGTCTCGAGGAGTACTGGAATAAGACTGAGGAAATTTTCAGTACACCCGGATTCTCGGCGTCGATGAAGTATGATCGTTTTGTGCTGTTGAGCAAATGTCTCCATTTTCAAGACAATGATAGTTGCAACCCGGAATTGATGACGCGTTTTGAGGCTAAATTGTTTAAAATTAAACCTATACTAGACCATCTTAATTCCAGATTCCCACAACTATATAACATGTCACAAAATGTAGCTTTGGACGAGAGTCTAACTATGTGGAAGGGCTGGTTAGACATAAACCAGTTTATAAAAAATAAGGCTGCTTCAGTAGGAATAAAAACCTACGAAGTATGTGAATCCCAGACTGGTTACTTGTGGCGTTTCGAAGTCCACGCAGGGCAAGATGATTCCTCGACTCCACAAGAAGGTCCAATTTCTGGAATTATCTCCTCCTTAGTGATCAGGCTTTTAAATGGTCTTGAGCACAAAGGCCAATCTATCTGGATGGATAATTTTTACAATTCCCCAGCCCTTGCGCGAGAGTTGAAAGTTCGGGGCTTTGACTGCGTGGGAACGCTTCGAACAAATCGCCAGTTTGTTCCCTCAGAAATCACAAACTTAAAAAAAGTAACATGTCGATTGGTCAATTGTGTGGCTGCACCTCGCAGGATGTGGATATCGTGGTATGGAGAGATAAGAACCGTGTAGCTCTTATTTCAACATACCATGGTTTAGCATCTGTTAGGTGCGGTGACACTCTAAAGCCCTCGATCATATCGGATTATAATATCTGTATGGGAGGGGTTGACCGAAAGGATCAAATGATCGCAATGTTCCCGATTGAACGAAAGCGTACTCGAGTGTGGTACAAAAAATTTTTCAGACGCCTATTGAATGTGAGTGTTCTAAACGCTTACACATTACTGAAATCACAACACCAAATTACCCACCGAAATTTTCGTAAAACTTTGGTGGGTCAATTGATAGCACATCACACGACTGCACAAATAGTTGTGGCTCCTTCGGTTTTAGGGGGGCATTTTCCAGTTGCGACGTTTGTGCGCCGTGTGTAAAAAACGAACAACCGCTTATTGCAAAGCGTGCAATGTCCCCCTATGTGTATTTACCTGCTTTGAGCCACACCACTCACCACAGTAAAACTATACAGAAACACTAGCCTAAAACGCAGAAAAGTTATTTTATAATATTACATACAACAAAAAATAAAGAGTCGTATCCATATTTTTCTAACCCCATTGTGACTAAAGTAGTTGTTTTTTTACAATTTTTATCAACATTGTTCTTAAAATATTTCTAGGAAGCAAACTTATTTTCTGTTTGAATTTGATACCTTGATCTATGTAAATCTTGGTAAATATAACACTCTTTTGATAGTATGTACCTAAAACCAAAGAAAAGAGTTTTAAATGAGCACTGTGTTTTGTGCCCATTTTAAGTACCATATTTGTTCAGCTCTTACTCAAGTTATATTAGTCTTAGAACTATGTTGCTATTTTAACTTGTAGCTGATATGCTCAACTTACTGTAAACATAAAATGTTTGACCCTTAAACAAAGAGTCTTTTCAAACCATTGAGAAACATGACGGCCAATTAAAATACCAAACAGAGTGGTTGATTTTAGTCTTTAGTCTTTAGTCGATTTTTATTAAAACAAGTGTTGTGTAAAAAATGTATGATGACGTGTGATGTTTGTATTATTTTTTTGTTTCAAATATGTTATCCTATTAATAAAATAACATATAAAAGCTATTAATTGTTTTATTTGTACAATAAATAATAAAAATCATCAAATTTGGAGGAACCTACATTATGGGCTATATTTAACCGTCCAATTTAATACTAATGATAAAAAATTTAATACAATTTGTAGAATTGTTGTCTTGGAATCATAATTTACTAATAAATATCCATTATTCTAATTATAATTAGAGATATTCCAATTGGTATGAAATAATTGCCCTCCACAAGCCCTGAATGTGTTGCGACCGGGAGCCGGTTGCACACATCTGACAAATGCGGCTTTTGACAGTACACAGTTGTAAGGGAGGTGAAAGGAAACTGCGACACTTTTGTTTTAGACTTTTCACTAGATAAATATTTTATCCTGAAATTCGCACTGTGTTTTTAATTTACTTCTATTGATATTTAGAATTATTCCATCATGAAACTTTATGGTTATTCACAGTAAAATGTTATAAATATGAAAACATGTATATATCTACATTCTACATGGCCTATTTTAAATGAAAGTAAACTTAAAAATTATAAAGTTCCAGGCTATATATCTCCCACTGCTCGGCACAGGCCTTCTCTCATTTCCAAGAAGGTTTTAGGATAGTAAAATGTTCGCCGCGCTGCCCCAATGAGTGTTGGCAAACTTCACAAGTCTTCGAAATAATTTTTTTCTTATTTCTCAGACATGCAAGTTTCCTTACGATGCTTTCCTTCACGGTCAAAAAACTGATGAGACAGCACTTAAAGTTGCACCTAACAATTTCATTGGTGCCGGCGGGCATCGAACCCAGATAACTGGCGTACTGTGAAATTTACAACGAGAGCTGAGCTATCACGGCTCTTGAAATGAAAAATAAATTAATTTAGAAATTAATTTTTAAAACTATACATATTTATTTTATACTTATATTAATTGATTTCTTACTAATTTGTACATACATAAATGTGTATAAATGTGACCACACCTTAAAAGAGCAATGTTAATTATGAACTTCTTCAATAATATTGAGGATTTGCCTTATTGCTTCCGATAGATGGTACAGCCATCACAAAAAATACCCAGACCGAAGACGTGCTGCAACTCCAAAGTTGCGATACTTCCATTGTCAATTCGCCTGCCAGGCATGACGATTAAGACGAAGCCTCTATACAATAGAACAGGCATGATTTAAGCAATGGAAAGCCCAAGTCAGACGCTAGCTATTTAGGGCTGATGAAGAACTAGGAGAAGAAGTTAACTCTTGACTGCAATCAAAATTACCGAGAATTTATTGTGAAGTTTATTGTTTTATAAGTCTCTCTATCTCTCACTATATAAGAAATATGAAATACAAAACAAACAATAAAGACAGATATATAAATAAGACAGACAAAATCCCTAGGGCCTTAGTCCTAATTTACTTAAAGAATTACTTAAATAAACACAGGTGATCCGAAACTAAGCGCAGGCTTATACTTAAATTATTTATTTTACGGCGATAATGTTGAATTTTTGACATTTTAATTATAACGTTTTCAATTACGGTTAAATGCAATTTTAAGTGCTGATTTACCACGTGTTTGAGGGAGAAGGAGAGCTGTGAGAATATTGATTTCTGAGAAATATAATATTTTAAGGACATGTAAAGTCCACCAACATATAATGGATGAATGAGAGGAAGCTATGTGTTGTAACTTTATATAATTACTGTTTTAAAACCTCTTTATTGCTTCTATACCTCTAGTTATTTTTTGGGTTTTATTTGCGCATCGATTAGAAAAAGACGGACTTAATTTAACCTCTCAAACGCCAAGCGTCCAAATTTGACCGCTTCGATATTCCGTCAAAATTCAAGCGGTCAAATTTGACCGCACCCACCAACAGCATTTAAGCCCATAAATACTTAAAACTACTTTTCTATGAAGAAGTTTGGCATTATAAAATCAATATGCAATTTTCTATCTTCTAGTGGAATAAAAATACAGTTAGTCTATGGATATTAATTTATATTCTACGTTAATTACGTACGCCATTTTCATTTGGGTGTTGTTGTGTTGATTTTTGGATTTTTCTAGTACTTTATTGGTGTTTTACTATAGTGTTTTATTAAAAAATTGTTATAAAAGTTTTTGTGTGAATTTAATTTATCCTTTTACGTAAATAATTTCGAGTAATATATAGAAATAATTCTGATTATCACGCTACCGACATCCGCTTGGTATTTTTTTGTTATCAAAATACAATAAAGTCTTTTTGTAATGAAGTAAAACCTGACTTTTGTTTATACCACAAGATAGAAAATTTTGTATAGATTTTATAATACCAAACTTCTTCATAGAAAAGTAGTTTCTAAATACAAGTTTTAATGATTTTAAGTGCTGTGGGTGGGTGCGGTCGCTTTCGACCGCTCGGGATTTGCTAGGTGCATGCGAGTGCATGGGAATTTTATGGGGATTGAAGAGTTAACAAGGCATTCTCTGCCAGTTTACCTCCAGGTTAAGCGGAGGAGATATTATGGGTGCAAAATACAAATAACTATCATAAAATACCTGAGTTAACATATTTTTTGCATAGTAACTATAATATGTTATATCATACCTTCATTTTGATAAACAACACACCCTATTCCTAATAAACTTGAGATACTATAACAAAAAATGGCTTTAGCGATGTTTATATCACCATGAAAATTAATTATTTTAAAATCATAACAAATTTAATTCGCACCTAAGACTGTGGCTTAAGTTATAAATTTAACCGTACACGTTTGAAACGCCAAGTTGTAATCGGCTAAACCTAAGTATACCCGCTTTTGGGTTTTTAGCCCTTAACATTATGTAAAAACTATGCATTTTCAGTACTCTGGACAGATCTTTGCTCGCTCATCAAGTAAGGTATTTTATATTTATTTAAACTACACGTGTATTTTCCTATTATATATCAATACTTGACTACTAATTCCTATCCTAAGGTAGTAAGTGTTGATGTAACTTAACAAACGCCTCTTCCCTGTTTGAATCAGTTATATATGACCTTGTTTTGATTTAATGAGAATAGGAATAATTTCAGATGCATTTTATTATAAAAGTTAAGACCAAGGAATACAAAAGATCTATGACTGAAACATGTATTAAGAGGAATCGATTTGGCGACATGACATGGCGATATTTAGTTAAAGAGTACTGTTCAAGTCCTGTATACAATATAAAATTTTCCTTACAGTCAATACTTGGTAATGGTCATAAGTTTTTCTGTAAAATATAAGCGATATATTATGATTTTGTCTTTTCACAACAATATTTTGTAATTGCTGTGTCAGCTTCATTGATATGAAAAACAAATATCGGAGAAATTTTCTAAACACACTGAGACATAACACAATCAAAACGTTTTGGTAACAAAATTACAGTCGTAGATAAGTAAGTCACCTAACTTAGGGACACGTTGCGTAAGTTAAGATCAAGTCCCATCTGCCTCTCTGCGTAATTAAGTTAACAAATTAGAACACGAGCCCGGGGTTTGTAATAGCACTTTCGTCAACGTTGTGTGTGGAACCCCTTACGACAATTCTGCTGTAGACTAAGGTAAATTAAATGTGATTCGAAATTGATCGAAATTAATCTCTTGCAGTTAATTAAACCTAAGGACTTTGGAGGACCTAAGCACTATGCTCAATGACATCAATGATATCTCCCAACGGATAGGTCTTAAGATGAACATGGACAAAACAAAGATCATGTTTAATATCCATGTGACACCTATGCCGGTAGTTGTTGGAAGCACTATGCTCGAAGTTGTTGACGAGTACGTTTACCTGGGACAAATAGTCCGACTAGGTAAGTCCAACTTCGACCGAGAGGTCAATCGACGGATGCAACTCGGCTGGGCAGCGTTCGGGAAATTACGACACATCTTCTCGTCAGGTATACCTCAAACTCTGAAAACTAGATTGTACAACCTGTGCGTGTTGCCAGTGATGACTTACGGATCTGAGACGTGGATCTTCACTGCTGGCCGTATGAGACCGCTTAAGGTCGCTGAGCGAGCTATGGAGAGGGCTATGCTCGGAGTATCTCTGCGTGATAGACTCAGAAATGAGGATATCCGCAGTAAAACCAGAGTGACCGACGTAGCCCAACGGATTAGTAAGCTGAAGTGGCAATGAGACGGCCATATAGCTCAAAGAATCGATAACCGATGGGGAATAAAGGTACTCGAGTGGTAGCCTCGTATCGGTAGGCGTAGTGTAGGGCGACCCCCCACTAGATGGAGTGATGGCCTGGTAAGACATGCAGGAAGTCGATGGATGCAGGTGGCTCAGGACCGTGCTTTGTGGCATTACTTGGGGGAGGATTATGTTCAGCAGTGGACTTGTGAAGGGCTGTAATGATGATGATGATGAGTTAATTAAATAAAAGTTATAAAATAGAAATGGAATTGAGTGCCATTTTGACTGCCCTTACTAACAACTTTACATTTAGTGATTAATTGTATGATTGATTTTTGTATAATTAAAAAAAAACTATTGATCAAGCGTCAAGGTATTATAGTATGAAAAAGAAAATATAATTTCTTTTAAAGATATCATCATCATTCTCTAGACCATTTCCCATTATCTGGGGTCGGCGCAGTAAATCTTCTTGTTCCATTCCTCTCTATCAGCCGTCATTTCCATACTTACTCCTTTCTTTTCCTTCACACAATCGATCTATCTTTTATTCGGCCTTCCTCTACCCGTGTGTCCCTCCACATTCATATTCACACTCGTTTTGTGACATGACTTTCATCCCTCTGCATCACATGCCCAAACCATGCCAATCTGCTTCCTCTCACCATTTCTACCACTGGCGCTACTTTCAGGCTTCCTCTTATATACTCATTCCTTATCTTATCCATCCTTGTCACACCACACATCCATCGTAACATTCTCATTTCATTCGCATGCAATCTATTTTCATCCTTCTTCTTGACGGCCCAGCATTCACTTCCATACATGACGACAGGTCGGATGATCGATTTGTAAATTTTCCCCTTCAGCCTTATTGGCATTCGGGGATCGCACGTTGTGGCTGTGACCTGTCGCCATTTCATCCACCCTGCGTTAATTCTATGCTGCACAGCTCTATCTATTTCGCCGTCGCCTTGAATGAGGGAACCGAGGTACTTGAAATCTGAGCAGGTAGGCAGTATAGCGCCATCCAACGACATGGGTACAGGACTGGAAAGAACGCCGAAATCACAGCAAAGATATTCGGTTTTGGATCTGCTGATCTTCAAGCCAACACTTTCCAGCCTCTGTTGCCATCCCGTCAGTCTGCTCTGTACCTCGATGCCTTCTTCCCCGACAAGCACGATGTCATCGGCAAAGAGCATGCACCAGGGTGCGTCATCCTGCAGGTCCGACGTCAAAGCGTCCATAATCAGTAGGAAGAGGTAAGGGCTCAATGCCGACCCTTGTTGCAGCCCTACAGCCACATCGATACTGCCCGTAGTTCCCGCGGCAGATCGTACACATGTACGGGATGCTCTGTACATAGCACGGACTAACCTCACATACTTCCCAGGCATACCTTTCATCTTTAACGCCCACCACAAAACCTCACGGGGGAACCCGATCGTACGCCTTTTCAAGGTCGACAAAAACCATGTGCAGATTTTTATGCACGCGTTTGTACTTTTCGCACAATTGGCGTAATGCGAAAATGGCATCTGTCGTACCTCGACCGGGCATGAATCCGAACTGGTTTTGTGTTATCTCACACTCTTCTCTCATTCTTCTCTCTATTATTCTTTTCCAGACTTTCATCGTGCGTGACATGAGTTTTATTCCCCGGTAACTGCTGCAGTTTTGAACGTCTCCTTTGTTTTTAAAAATGGGGACCAGTATACTACTGCACCATTCCTCAGGTATTTGTTCTTCCTGCAACAATTTACCGAAAAATAAACTCAACCACTTCCATCCATCCGCACTCAGCAACTTCCACACTTCTACTGGTATTCCATCTGGGCCGACCGCCTTCCCATTCTTCATATTCCTAACAGCCATTTTTACTTCTTCCACACTAATTTCTCTCACTAAGCCCATATTCACTGGTGGGTTTTCAAGCATACCATTCCATTCATTCTCCTCATTCATCAATTTCTCAAAATACTCCTTCCATCGCTTCTTTATACTTTCATCGTCTGTCAAAATCCTTCCAGAATCATCTTTTATACATTTTACATGTGAAACATCTCTTCCATTCCTTTCTCTCGCTCTTGCAATTTGAAAAAGTCGTTTTTGACCTTCGGGGCTTTCAAGGGACCGATATAATTTATCTTGCCCCTCTGGCCTACAAATAGCAACTTGCTTCTTCGCTCTCTTCTTACATTCTTTATACGTCCCTCTCTTACTTTCTTTTATGGATTCATTCTGGTCTTCTACGCTCTGCCATTCTTTAAAGGCATTTTTCTTTTCTCTCAAAACTTCTCTAACACTTTCACTCCACCACCACCCATCCTTATCTATCATACGCTTCCCTTTTGTTTCTCCTAACACCTTCCTTGCCACACTTCGGATACAATCAGCCATTTCCTTCCAGCACTCATTCACACTCATTCCGTCCATATCACCCATTTCTATCATCTTGTTTACAACTAGCTCTCTAAATTCACTTGCATACTTCTCCTTATGCAACAAATGCCACTTTATTTGGGTGGGGGACGATCCTTATGTTTGTTGAGGTGAACAGTTAAGCAGATGTCAGCCAGCAGAATTCGTGCTGGGATACTAAGTCTTCACCTGGAAGCACTTTGCAGTTTTTTACACTCTTGATTTGGTTCTGTCTTATCAGAAAATAGTCGATCTGTGTCGCGTGGTGGCCACTTTTATAAGTAACAAGATGCTGATCTCGTTTTTGGAACCACGTGTTTACTACAGCCAGGTCGAAAGCACATGCTGCTTGCAGAAGAACTTCCCCCTCACGGTTCCGCACTCCGTACCCCCATCCACCATGTACTCTTTCATACCCGTCATTCACTCTCCCTACATGTCCATTAAAATCTCCTCCCATATAAACATCCTCACTCTCAGGTATTCCCATCATCATACAATCAAATTCCTCCCAAAACTTCTCTTTCACACTCTCTTCACAGCCTGTTTGCGGAGCATACACACTTACAACATTCACTACTTTGTTTTCAATCATTAATTTAACAACTATCATTCTGTCATTTACTCTTTTCACATCTGTCATTCCACTCGTTCTTTCATTCCACTATCTAACACAACTCCTACTCCATTTCGCTTCCCATCACTTCCACAATAATAAAACTTGTATCCTTCCCCAATATCTCTCGCTTTATTGCCCTTCCATTTTGTTTCCTGCAAACAGGCAACATTCACTCTTCGTCGTTTCAAAACATCTGCTAACTCTCTTCCTCTTCCAGTCATCGTACCTACATTCCAGCTTGCAAACCTCACTCTGACATTCTTCTCTCTCCGGGCTCGCCTCTTACGTCGCACCCGCTCCATAAGGTGCGACAACCCTTGCCCACTTCCCACAGGAGCCGGGTGCTGCCCCTGCGCGTCGCCTGCGGGGTACGCCCTAGCCCTGTCATATATCCCACAACTCGTACTATTCATAGGTTTACTGCATGGGATTTGGCAAAAGTTTTACAGTCGGCCGCCTGCCTGACACCAACCCTCTTTGGGTATGCTATTGTTGGTAGAGGAAGCTACCATTTTGGGAAAAGGAAAAAGAAGGTTGGGGGTAGGAGCGTAGGTGTAAGGATACTGTTATCTCAGCAGGAAAGGTATGAGAATAACAGTAGCTCGGGGAGCCGGGGTCGCGTACCCGTATTCCATAACAGGATCACCGGAAAGGTAGACCAGCATGAAAACCCCCTGACTCA